TGGTTTAAGATCTCGTTCGGAATGTCTGGAGGCTCCGGAAGTTGAATTGGCTTGTCGTAGATGGGCTCAGAGACTGCAGCATCCTCGGGGTCGAGTGAAAGATCTATGAGATCAGCCGATAACCTTTTTACTTCATCAGCGTTTACATAATGGTGAACTTCTGTTAGTTGGGATGAATCGCTGTTTCCTGTCGCCCCAGTGACTTGGTCAACAGCAGGAGCTTGGGACTCGCTCGACAAGTCCTGACCGTGAGTGTCCTGGGAAGCAGTAGCCTGCGCCGTCCCTTCACCATTAGGAATGGGTGGTGCAATTATGATATAATGTTTCTTTTGTATTGGTTGTTCAGACGCAGTATCTGCCTTCGACGACTGGTCCTGAAGCTCTATCTGAAGCTCCTTATCATCACTACTTTGCCCTTCAAGGTGCATCTCCGAGCGTACTGGCGAGTTCTCGGCAAGTTCTCGTCGTTTAAGAGGAGCGTTAGTGGGCTGGCGAAGCAAATGAGTTGGAGGTGGTACTTTTTTATCAGCTGACGCACCGACCACATCTCCTGTGTCTGAGCCTTTAACAGCTTCTGAATTACGTGCATGGAAGTCTCCATTCGCAGGGAGTGGTTCTGTTCCACTGACCGCTTTTGTATCAAGACTGCCATCAGAAACAGGGCGAGCGTTCAACTTGGTGTTTCGACGAGGTGTGGGCACTGGTCTCTTTGTAGTCTTTCTCGGGGTCGTTGCAAACGGACTGCTGGAAGGCGCGCTAGCAGATAGAACGCTTCCAGCTGCATCAGAGGTTTTCCCCTTGTGCTCCTGAAGGTCGGGGCGATCTGGAATATTCAGCGGGGATTTCCCCCTTGGGGTATTACCCCCTGGAGTTTCCTGTAGTCCACGCCCTAGGGAAGTATCATCTTTGTATCCCTTTCTGTGTTGATACGGCACAGCATAATCTGGGTCGGATGCCATTCCTGCAGCGTCTGATTCGAACTGTGTCCTGGGAGCCCTCACCAAATCTTGCCACTGCATTGAATGCTGTGGTTCTTTCACCTTCTTCAAAGTGGCATACTCACTCTCATTCGCGGCAAGATTACGCTGTTGGTAGTCCATACTGATATAAAGACTATCATTTCCCATACTTGTGTATTCCGGCGGGTTTTGCGCGATGACGTGGTTTCCTGTGGCGCCCTGCGGTCCGTGTTGAAGGGCCTGGTTCTCTCTGGCTACTTGTGGTATCTGTTCATGATCCATGGCTGGGTTACCTGTGTAACGACCAGGGTTCAGGGGGTTTGTGGGATCGCTCTTTGCATCATCTCTCAAATCTAAGCAAAATGAGAAATTAAAATACAATGGAAAAAAAAATCAACGTTATAACGAACACTCTGATTGGCTCAGAAATTCAGATACAATTAAAATAACGTTATAACGAACACCCTGATTGGCTTGTCACGTGATATTGGTATCACGCTTGACTCTGTTTCTGCTGAACAGAAAACCGTAAAATTACGCTATTTCCTCGCAAAGACTAATACCCCATTCACACCAAAGCTAGATCTATGGGATTGCAGAAGATCTCAAATACTTCCAAATACTTAGCTGGGTTTAAGATAAAGATCAAAATTAAATTTGAAACGAAAAACTATGTCTGCACTAAGAACAAAACTTTAGATTAATTTTTAAAAAAACTGGAGGACAATTTGTCCTGTGTAAACAATATCTGTATTCTAACTATTTATATATGTATTGTATCGCTTTCTTTGTAACGTTCTATTGCCTTTGTGATTGTATTTTAACATAAAAGTATTGTACAGTATGTTTAAGCTAGTAGTGTAAGTTGTGTAACGATATTGTAAGTAATGAGTTATACGGTTTAATTAGTAAGTTGCGTTAGTAAGTAATGTTTAGTATTTGTAGTAGCTGTAGAATTGAAAAGTTGTGTGAGTGCTCTAATATATATACAAAAATTAAACATGTTGAAACGCTGTTTAGTTAAATTATGTTCACAGTTTAAAAGTTTATTCATCATAGGAGCTTCTAACTGAGGTTTGTCGACGTGAGTTTTAGCATAATGAATGCACTCATTAGAGCTTAGCAGAACCATATGGAAAATTCATTCTACCAGTTTTCTATTGCTGATTCTCATTTTGTTTAACTTTGTTTAATTAAATATGTTTAGTAGGTGTGAAGGGGTATAACTGTCAAGTTGTTCACGTTAATTTTTCGTCAAAGCAAAGGGACGGAGGCTATCGATC